ATAAATACATACATACCAACAGCATGTGTCGGCTTTGATTGGTATGGTTACTTGTGATGATTTTATTCACTAGAGTCTAGATTTTATATTATATCTTTTATATATATTTGAATAAATACATACATACCAACAGCATGTGTCGGCTTTGATTGGTATGGTTACTTGTGATGATTTTATTCACTAGAGTCTAGATTTTATATTATATCTTTTATATATATTTGAATAAATACATACATACCAATAGCATGTGTCGGCTTTTATTGGCATGATTACTTGTGATGATTTTATTCGATAGAACCTAGATTTTATATTATATTTAAGAAACTTTTATTGCGAAAAATATTATCTCAGCCAGAATTCGAATCTGGGATCTCTCGACTTTCCGGGGCGAATGTCTTAGCTAGCTCGATCACTGAAACTTCGGAAATATTCTTCGCTATACATGTCAGTTTACATCATTATACATATTCTCTCACTATACATGTCAGTTATTGCAAAGAATATTTCCGAAGTCTTAGTGGTCGAGCTGGTTAAGACACTCGCTCCGGAAAGTCGAGAGGTTCCAGGTTCGAATCCTAGCTGAGATAATATTTTTCGCAATAAAAGTTTCTTATTTGAAATAAAGAGGGGATTATATATACTTGCGATTGTCCGAACGTTTCGGCGCACAGTCACATTTGAGATTAATTAAATTCATGAACTTAGAATATTATATTATATTATATTTATTCGAAACTTCCAACTTTGATCGATCTTTATGGTGCTCTCTATTATATTAAGTTAATTAATTACTTCTTTAATATTTTATATCTTAAGATAAATAAAATCATATAATTATTAATTAATTATTATATAATCGTATATTTATAAATAAAAGAAATAAGATTATTAGTGTTACAAACTTCAATTTTCAAAAATCATATAAAATTCTAATATAACCAGCTTTATCTTTCGCTTTACAACAGTTGAGTCTGCTGAACGTGACCATTGATTTAATCTATTATTTTGCATTAAAAAAAGAAAAACTGCATAAAATAAATAAAGTAGATTTATGAAGATATTACATAAAGATTTGTTAAGATTGTTCAATTATTATTTTCACGTATATTCTTTCTCAAGTTTTCAACTCCTGAGAGAAGTAAAATGTATAATTTCCATAAATCAAGATTTTGATATTTTAATAGAAATTTATATTGTTATAAAAATATGGATAATTTAATCTTACTTCTTTGATTTATTATTCACAATTACACGATAATTAATTAATAATTACATAATTTTATTTGTTGCATGATGTTATTTAGAATTTTAGATGTTACATGATTTTATTTGTTTCAAGACATAAAAGTGTTAGAACGCAACATATTATATTAAATTTTATAATTATTTTCGATGTTGTTTCTTAAGTGTAAAATTTTTGT